AACCGGCCCTGGATGAATGGAAAGCATTGTATTAGGTTGTCCGGAAAGTTCTCAGCGTTTTGTGTTACTATTTTTTGTACATTCATTGCTGATTAAAAACTCATTCTCCCTTGCGTCTCAGTAGTACATCCTGAAGAGAATTTTTTGCGCCTCTACCTGATGGTATAATTGCCGTTTCACCATTGCTTGATAAACCCCTTTTCCAAGACTTTTTGAAGCATGTCAAAAGAGCAACTTCGGACGATATTTTTCTTCGACTAAAAATTGGGTCAATCCGCAATCGAGACAGCTCGACAAATTAACCAGGTGTGGGGGCCCAATAGTGCTAGAGAAAGCACTGTGCGGCAATGGTTCAACAAATTTCGTTCTGGAGATTTCAGCCTCGAAGTGAACCTCGTAGCGACCTAAATATCTGACGAGGATTTTAGGGGGGGGGGGGGGAGGACTGACTCATCCACCAAACACTCGAGAGGTATGCAGAAAGCTAGGTGTTGGCAGATACAATGCTTGCGGATGGTCTGAAAACGCATATTGGAAATCGTTGAAAAAACTCGAGCAAGTGGGTGCCCCACAATTTAAGTGAACGGCAGAAATTGGCACGTCTCGAGGTTTCTTCTTCACTGCTTTTGCGCAACAGAAACGACTCGTTTTTGGACCGAATTGTCACCTGTGATGAAAAGTGGATATGTATGCATAACGGAGTTCCGGACAGTTTTGGACGTCGACGTAAACACCGCAGGCAATTTTTCAAAGCCGAATCCTCAATGAAAAAAAAGTTTACTGGTTACCAGTGTGGTGGTCATCGGCTGGTGTGATCCACTATAACTTGTCACCAGGCCAAACCATCACAGCAGAGTCCTACTGTGAAGAAATCGACGAAATGTACCGAAAATTGCGTCAGCTGCAGCCACTTATCAAAAGAAAGGGTCCGATTCTTTTGCATGACAACGCCCGCCCACACGTTTCACAAATCACTATCCATAAATTGAACGAATTGGGGGTTGAAGTTCTACCTCACCCGCCATATTCTCCAGACCTTTCACCAACCGACTATCACCTTTTAATTTTCAGAAACTTCCTTGCTGGAAAATACTTCATCAATCAGAACAGGCAAAACAGTGCCTTCGCGGATTCTCAACCACACCAGTTTTTTTCTTTGATGGGATTTCTCGACTGCTGTCACATTGGCAAAAGTGTGCTGATTCGAATGGTGCTTATTTGGATTAAATCCGATGAGTGTTAAGAAAGTTATGATCGTTTAAAGTTGAAACACCCAAATTACCCCTATATACAAGTTTTTAGCGGATTTGGTGATCTTGCCACTTTTAAAATGAGCTCGAAGACGAAATTTCTGGAGTCCAAACGGCATTAGCCTCTGTTTTGGAGCCACACAAATTCCATTTTACCGTACCTCTTGGTGGTATGCCAGTCACGGCTTGCCTCCATGAGCTGTGGAAGGAAATGAGTGTTGTGGAATTGATACAGGCTGGATATATTGGCGAACAATTTCTGTTGTTTTTCCTTGTCAATAGCGGCATCTTTGACTACTCGCTGACGGAATATCTGAAAGTTCAATTGCTGTGAGTCTCCACCCATCCGGTTGTCATGGACTTTTGACTTAGCTGAGCTCCCTCACCTCGTCTAATAGCCGCAGTTTATCTACATAGCGCTGTTCACTATCCACAAGCTCCTTGGCAGCAAACCAGGCCTGAAATCAAGGTAATCAATCACTTTTGAGTCATTCGAGAAGCTGCCATCGGCTCACCTTATCATAGCGTTTCTTCGCTTCAGCCTGTTGTTTTGTTTGAGCCGCGTACGGCTGGATGTCGCTCTCACTGTCGGTGATCTCCGAGTAGCATCTGAATAGATCCGCGGTTACAATCAAGCAAAAATGTAAAACGCCACTGTTTGGCATGGGGGGGGGGGAGAATTCTATATTCGCTGATTCATTTTGTTACTACGCAAGACTTGTAAACTCTTGTCAAGCCGAGAACTAAGTGCACGTGACCCATTTGGTCACAGGAATTCAAGCTCTTCACAAGGTGGCCCATACAAAGTTCGCTCTCAATCTTTCGTGTCCCCACCAACAGCGAAATAGAAGTACTGTTCAACTACATCAGCCTGATAAATTATGTCACTGCAGAAAACCAACCAGCTACAACTTAAGGACGCATTCCACGCCGGTTGGCAAATGGGCGGAGACTCATGATAATTGTGCCCAACTCACTGCCTTCCCCTAATAAAATGAAAAGGAGAGATGCGTCAATGAGGAGGGCGCAATGACATGAGTCCCAGCTCACTCCTCCGCCCATGCGATTGTCGCAGAACGTGCCATTAACGTGACCGTAATATTTCGCTGTTGCCTTCTTCTACAAGAAGATCGGACTTAGTTCGGCCTGATGGGGGCACTTTACTGGCTCGATGGTGTCGATGCGTCCTTTGGAGACCAATGAAATACTGTAAACTAACGAGAACAAGCAAAAGAGACTAGCGAACGTGCAAAATGCTCATCCCCGCTCTGAGCCAACAGAATCGTTATCAAGCCAAAATTGTTGGGACCAGAAAATAGAGAATGATTAAGTGGTCAACAGCAGAGCCGAAGAGAACATGATTCAAAAAACCTATATTCTTTAGTTTAGACCAACCTGCTAGCGCGATCATCATCTTCCGTCTCCTCCTCGGACAAATCGTCGGCGTTGTCTGCCAGTTTGACACGATATCCTCCTTCTGGTCCCTGAACAGCTGTGTTATTTGACTGATAACAAGTAAGTTGTAGTTGACGGAAAATTCGGTCATATTCGAAATTAGGCTTATTTTTTGTAGTTCCTCCTTTTTTCCTCGAAAGCCCTCGAGAGCTGAACATATGCTCCTTAGAAGAGTACGAGTAAAAGTGAGTAATATAAGCGAATGGAAATAAATAGGAAAAAAGACGTCAGCGAAACAGGGCGAAGTACACTAAGAACATTCCGCGCTCACAAAGAAAAAGAAGCAGGCGCTATCCATATCGCTGGGAGAAATCTAGGAGAGTAGGGGGGAGGGTCGTACTTGCTTCGCTGTGGGAGAGGAGGCTACGTATTCGCTTTCAAAGGAATGTGCCGCGTTCTACGGTTGGATGTTGAATTTTCGCGAGTTTCCCTGTGTTTCTCTGGTGCTCTATGCCCCCCCCCCCCTCCCCTCCGCCCCGTCCCCCGCTCGACGGCGAAATTTTTGGACAAAAACGTAAGATCTTGAAGAAATTTGACAGCAATGGTAGGAAGTCTCGGAAAGTAGGTATGGAGGAGTCAAGATAGTAGGACGAGGAGGGAAGTTTCTAGCAGAGGACGGAACTGATGTGTTTCCTAAAAATTTCCCCACAGCGACGGAAGCGTGCCTGATGCATTTAATGTGATGCTCGCGTACGATATTCACATATGGTAGAAATGAAATATTTAGCAATCGTAACAAAAAAGAATGTTTATTGCTCATGCCACCACAGGATGGTTGACCCGACAAACTGGGCGGAAGAGCGAGTTATGCAAAGCGAAGTGACGTAGTGATGGAGGTTCCGCGCCATAACACTTATGAAAAGGAGTCATAGTTGTTCTTTGTACGGGAATGTTTCCAGCCTTTTTTCAACTTTCTTAAAATTAAAACCGCTGCTAAATAATTGGTGACGTGCCGTTTCGAATTTGATATTGAGAGCGATGTGGGTTGTTAAGGTTGTTGAGAGCCGCTATGTACTCGCAGATGGATTACAGTCACGGTACAGCGTCGTTGTGTGAAACACAGGGGTCGTACTTGCCGCTGAGTAGGGGGGGGGGCGTAGATGACTTTGGAAAAATTTGCCACGTTGGGGAAAAACTTTTCCCGGTTGTTTACTTTTCGCGGTTTTTCCCGTTTCAAATTTGGAATCCGCAGCATTGCTGCCCTAACGGGGCAGCTAAAGGAGTCCTTGTGCAAAAATAGAATTACAGCGAAATAGGTGAGTCGTTTTGGCCTAATTTTTTGGCCTTTGGCCTAGTCTCAGAGGGAGAAGAAACTTTGGATGGGAGAACCAGGATAAGAATGTTATTCATTTGCACGGTAGTGATCCCCACTCTTTACAAGGGGTCTTTTAAACGGCCGCAGGGTCATAAGTGTATGTCAGCATGACTGATGTTGCTTGTTCAGCCGATCGATAATCGATTAATGAATAGGTTGGCTACCTTGTACTCGACGAATGCCTTGAAAGTGCTTTTTGACATCTGCTTCACGCCATTGATGAATGTCTCGTGTTTTGAGAAGTGTGAACTGAAAAGAAATTAATCGGATAATTAATTTTCAATTTCAACTTCAACAATTTCATACTCACATAAAAATATTGAGGCAAAAAAGCCCTACAGAGACAAGTCAGGGCAAAAACCACCAGCTCAGGAAAACTAAACTGATCTGAGAGGGATAGGGCTGATCTGAGAAGGATGGGGAGTAGTGGGAGGCGCCGTCATTATAAGAATGGCCATAGATCGCATACCGGGTCAGTCGTCATCCATGTCAGCACAGCCTTCTACGTCTTCAACTGACCAGAAAGTTTTTTGGGAGGATGACATGCTGGCGACTACGTCAGTTGGCCCTCACACTTGATTGCCTTGGTCAAACATGCAATTCGTGATGGATATAGAACGCGTGGCGCAGCTCGGCGCCCTGAGCTCCTTTACAATCGCTGCGTTTATTCTGGTACGGTACTCTGACTTACGGCCACGGTCCTCTTGACTAGGTCCATTAATTACAGCTGCAACCTGAGATATTACTGTTGCTTAGATACTCCTCGGCCAATACAGAGTTTGATGTTCTACTCATCCACTAAAACTCACTCTGGCCCTCAAAATTTTCAAAATAATTAGAGCTTACTTAAACGATAGCTCTTCATTGATAGCACTGGAAGCAGGGGTTGGACAAACTCGTGAGGCCGATGTCAAAATGTTACTTTAGAGATGAGTCGGAGATGGTGTAGTGGCAAGTGGCACGCTTACCACGATCGGCACCTACAAGCCAACCAAGCCTTCGAGCTTCCGGGTACGGTAAGTTGGTCGAAATTTTCTCGGAAGACAGAACTGTACATCAGCCCGCCCCCCCAAGTCCATTGTGTATCCGCAAGTGTTTCAGCTAAGATAAGCAGCTACACTTTAAAAATATAGGAGAATTTGCGCTGCGTGTCGAAAGGTTAGATCAAGGGGTTTGAACATTTGTCCTCATTCTCGGATCCCTAAACTGGAAGCAGCTCGATATCATTATTAATACAGATAGATTTTTTTGGCACTATTCAACTATTACTACCCCAATTTTCCGAAAACAGGCCGTATCTTGATCGACTTCTTTCTACGGGGGCAGATTTGGCTGAAAGTTGGGTTTAGGGTATTTTACACGAATATTACATCCATTTGAACCGAAAGGATGCCTAGAGCCGCGCCCACAGGCGCTGTCGGAAGGTACGTAGGTGACGAAGTCTCTGAAACATCTTGATTACAAATATCACATTCATTTTTGGCGCTGGCGCTGATGGAAGACGCTGCGATCATCTGCGCTCTGCTAAGGCTGAGCCTGACCTGAAGGAAATCACTCTTTCTCCCAGGCTCAGCCTTAGAAAAGCGCTAAATGGCGCTGGCGTCGAAAAATAAATGTCATATTCGTGATCAGAGCGTCGAACAACCCCATTATACATGGCGCCAGCGCCGAAAACGAGTGCTACATTCGTGATCAGGACACCGAATTACCTCTGTGGGCAAAGTTTCAGCGAAAAAAAATCGTTTTTTGACTTTTTAGGGTAGTAATAGTTGAATGGTGCCGATTTTCTTGGGATGTTGAACCTCAGAGGTATGAACGCTGACAGTACGATTACTCAGGTTCCGGTGGAGGTTGCCGGACTCCAGGACAGCGCTATAGGGCGTATCATTGAATAAAGTTTAAAGTCGATGGCGAAATGTTCGGTTGTGATGGCAGCCGTTCAGCATGTTCCGGGGCACCTCCACATACGACTCTCCCCCCTCGAAGGAGGGTCTCGGTACAACCTCCAACCTGAAAGGAGGGTCTCGGTAGGACCCCCCCCCCTTCCCCAACACCTACCTACCACTTTCCTGCAGGTTCCCAGCTTCCTACCAGTTTCCGAAATTTCCCACATTCACCAGTTTTTCACCAGAAAATTTTCCGTCCAGGGGGAGGGGAGGTCGTCAGCAATCAAATACTATTTTCAACTATCGGAAATAGTAGTTATATAGAACTTTGGCGGCGCCACCAACTAGTGGGGGGGGGGAAACGGGAAAAACCGCGAAAATAGGACAACCGCGAGAAATTTTTTCCCAACGCGGAAAAATTCACTCGAAAGCACATACCACCCCTCTCTCACAACAACGACCAAATAAGACCCCCTTCTCCCAACAATGACCAACTACGACCCCCTCCCCAGCGGCCAAGCAC